TAGATGATTATTATTATTATTAATTATGAATATATTGATTTAATATGCAATCCATTGTTGATGATTAATAATGTTCATTTCCTTCCATTTCTCTCATGAGAGAAGTTGCTTTGTTTTAATTTGTAGGTCAAAAAAGCCTGTTTAGAAACAAGAGGTATATTCTCGAGTTATGGAGATCCATTCAGGTCATCTGTAATATCTGAGAATCTCTATAATACGACTACTTATTGTGATGTGGATAATATGAGCATGGATACCACTATATAAAACGTTTGTCTGTTTGAACGCAAAAATATGAGAAGCCACCAGACGGATTTGTTTATTTTATTTATTTATTTATTGTTAACAAAAACAATAACGACAAATTATAATTTTGTATTTTTGAATGTGTCGAATTTAAAAATACAAAATTATAATTTAAATCTAAAATAACAATGTCAAAATAGTCACATAAATTAAGAATATTAATAAACCTCCGCTTGAATATAATAATAATAATATCAAAAATTACTAGTAATAATACCAAAGTTAAAAATTTTATAGACCTATTCATGAGTAATGTTATATTATATTACAATCAAATAAAATTAAAAATAATTCATTCCTGTAGGACATTTTAGCTGCGTATGAATGTATTTTTTTTTAATTATATTTTTTACAGTACAACCTTTACATTACACAATAAAGAAAAAAAAAGGAGAAATAAACTCAAGAGAAAATAAATAAATATTACGGATAGGTTCAATGACACGCTACAGTAAATTAGGGCTATTGTTCTTTTATTTGTTCATGTATTATATATTGTTAATACTCATAGTATTAACATCGCGCATACTGCCATGACGCGTCATCTAACATCGCGCATACTGCCATGACGCGTCATCCTACTGCATCTGCGCGCCGTGCAATATTCTGCGTCTGTGGCGCATTCAGTTTACGCGGGAAAACAAAACTACAAAATGATTTCTTCTGCACACACTGTGATAAACTGTGGAGGACGAAAAGATAAGATAAGATGGAGCCAACTGGACATTCTACATGCATCACTAGCAATGAATTATCAATTCACATTTCTAACAATCTCCTTCCTTTCAAGCTACATTATTAAACGTGAATATTATGCGAATAGACGGGCAGCGCCACGGAATTTGTGTTAGTGTCTACAAATCCGGTTAACAAGTTAATTCATTCATTCATAATTTAATTAGCGATGCTCTTGTCGGTGGAGCTCTTGACACTTTCTACGATCTTCCATCATATGCTTTAAACCTTGATACGACACGACTCCAATTCTGTCTTACATTTATATAGATAATCACAACTAGTGGATCCGCGCTACTTCGTTTGCATTTCCTTTCCCCATGCAATATTTTTCATTGCAGCTCCGCTCCTATTGGTCGCAGCGTAATGTTATATAGCTTAAAGTCTTCCTCAACAAATGGATTATACAACACAAAAATAATTTTTCAATTCGAACCAGTAGTTCCTGAGATTAGCGGGTTCTTACAAACAAATAAACTCTTCAGCATTGTAATCTTCTATCTTCTAAATATATATAACTCAAAGGTGACTGACATAGTGATCTATCAACGCACAGCCCAAACCACTGGACGGATCGGGCTGAAATTTGGCATGCAGGTAGATGTTATGATGTAGGCATCAGCTAAGAAATGATTTTGATTAATTCTACCCCCAAGGGGATAAAATAGGGGATGAAAGTTCGTATAAATCTTCTTAGATTTTGCTTGCTACTAATTTTTTTACACACGCTAAACAAAAAGTAGAGCCGCAAAAACTACACCTAATTAATAATAATACTTACTACTACGCGAGCGAAGCCGCGGGCAAAAGCTAGTATTAGTATAGATTTATAGGTGCAATACACTTCCGTCATTTTGAGATCAGTCCATCCGATCGCGTCAAGTTTGTTACATAATTAATTAGTTGTAATAATTATAACAGTGTCGTAATATTGCATAACTCTGAGAGAACCGGTTGCCATCTTTTCTTTATTTACATTGATTCAATATCTTGGATTTATTTTCTTTATTTGTTTATTAAGAAAATAAAATTTATTCACTGTTTGGCTGAGGCAGTGAAACTCACAACCTCCAATTGAAACTTACGATCTTTCAGAACATGGTTATGGGCAGCCGCGATCTTATTTTTGAGGAGGGGTAAAAACCAAATATACCTTCCCCCCACTTTCCCAACACCACTTCAGCCCCTCTGGATAACATTTTTGCAATATACGTATTAACATATAATATGTGCAATAAATATAGTTGTTATCTAATATATAAAATTCTCGTGTCACAGTTTTCGTTCCCATACTCCTCCGAAACGGCTTGACCGATTCTCATGAAATTTTGTGAGCGTATTGAGTAGGTCTGAGAATCGGCCAACATCTATTTTTCATCCCCCTAAATGTTAGGTGTAGTCCACCCTCAAATTTTTTTATTATAAGGCAAAACATTGTTTGCCGGGACAGCTAGTAATTATATAAATATTAAGGCTTTTTTAACAATTATGTCTTCATATATACATACATACATATAAATAAAATTGAAGTGTCTGTTTGTAATATTGAAATAACTGTTTTTTACTACATGCATATGAATATAAATACGGTACATACACAAAAACCACTTTTTAAAATTTTTGTCTGTCTGTCTGTCTGTCGGTCTGTTTGTTCCGGCTAATCTCTGAAATGGCTGAACCGATTTTGACGGAACTTTTTTTGGCAGATAGATAATGTAATAAGGAGTAACTTAAATTACTTTTATTTTCGAAAAATAAAGTTAAGTTCCACGCGAACGAAGTAGCGGGTACAGCTAGTAATATTAATAAGACTGATAATCATTATGGAAATGAAGTACTTATATTCACAGACCTCATTTCTATTCTCAGATAGTTTACAGTTGATGTTAAACTCACAGTATCGTGATTTCTGCGGTTAATTAATAGAGCATGACATTATCTTATTGACTTGTGAGGAATATATTATTACAGATTTTTTTTAACGGATGTTAATGGAATAGTGCAAGCGTTTAGGGATTTACACTGATTGAGCATCAGTGGATGTTAAAATGAGAAGGATGATAAGATGAGCATGAGGTCAGGGCAGTTAGCCCATCGTGAAAATTCACCAGGAATTTACCACGATGGTTTCCAGGGGGAACCGCGTGGAAGTCAACCTTATAAATGGCACATTGCTGGCTAAGTCTACAATCCTTTTCCTTTTTTTTATGGATGATAATGGAATGGTGCATCCGCCTGCGCTAACGGTTTACGCTGGCGGGGCACCAGTGGAAGACGATAAGATGAGCATGAAGTCAGGTCAGTTAGCCCATCGTGACAAATTCACCAGGAATTTATCACGCTGGTTTTCAGGGGAACCGCATGGAGATCAACCTGACATGGTGCATTGCTAGCAATGAGATCATCAGTCCATATTACTAACAATCCCCTTCATAGGCATTATACTACATTATATAAATTATACGTACTGTATGGTAATCAATAGTATTAATGTATATAAACACAAAGTTACAACGTCGCTGTCTGTCTGTCCCTATATATGCTTAAGTCTTTAAAACTACGCAATGGATTTTGAAGCGTTTTCAAAATCCATTGCGTAGTTTTAAAGTTTTCCGGCTTATAATACGGGTGTACACCCGGGCGAAGCCGGGGCAGGTAGCTAGTTACTAATAATCATTTTCCTCCCTATTATAGGCTTTTTTTTTCGTACTACTCTAATACTGTTGGCCGCAGCTGGCCTTTACAGCTTCACCGGACGTTAGGGGGCGAGTGCAGATTGTACTCCAAACCCGCGGAAGGACTTATGGAGCGGCTGAAGGCCAACTGTCTGAGGGCACCACTAGGGGTTCGAACCTCGGCTCAGGCCGTCGTAATTTCGATCCCCGTTTGAATTGGACGGGGGATCGATCGGAGGGGCGTATTAGAGGCATTATACTACGTCCCCATAAATTATACATACATAACAGTATGGTAATATTTGTGATGGTTGTATTAACTCCAGGTCCTACAGGTTAGACAGAGAAAGCCAAATGACAGAAGTTTCTATACTTACTAGCCTTAAATATAAATTCAAATCGCTCTAAAAAATAGGGGTTTTGTGATAAAAGGGTGAAAATTTAGGGTTGTATGTATTTTTAATTAAAAAAAATTGACCAAAAATAAAACACAATTGCTAGGGGTGGAGAACCCTTATCACTTAGGGGTATGAAAAATAGATAGTAGCCGATTCTCAGAACTACTGAATATGCATATAAAATTTCATAAAAATCGGTCAAGCTGTTTCGGAGGAGTATGGTAACTAACATTGTGACAACAGAATTTTATATATAAGATACATAGATCTTGCTTAATGTATATTTATTCTAAATATACACGCCTGCCGCTTATTGTTGAATTACAGTTTTATCAGTAAATTAATAAATGTTTACTGATATTTTTTTATAAATAATGTGGTATTTAACTAGTTAATCATTATACAATACTTTATGTATCTTGATTAATAACTATATGTTATTAATTCCATATTTACTTTGATTAAATCCATTGTAAAATACATAAATTAAATTATATGTAAAACTATTGGTATGTTTTATTTTTTGTTTGAGTATCTCTTTTACATCAAAGATTTCATAGTTTGCTATTAAAAATATTTTATTTATTTATTTATTTATTCTTTATTGAATAAAAAAAAATGTTGTACAAGAGGCGAGCTGAAAGCCGTATGGCATTCTCTCCCAGCTAACCTTAGGGTAGAAGCAGAAAGCGTAGTGGGGTATTAGCGAGAGCTATTTTAAATTTGCTAATACATATAAATAACTAGCAAGATATATATATATATTATATAAATATGTATATGTATTCTATTTATTCCGTAATATAATAAGGTTCAATATATTATGAAGTTAAGTTAAGTAAATATCATTATAAGTTACATTTTATTAAGTAATAATTTATCTTACCTGCGCTAAATTCAACGGCGCTCTACCTGGAGGTGTCGTGACTTGGCTGGCTACCAGAGACGCCAGCGCCACTCTCTGGTTTCCCGACATCGCTCTGATGATGGGGAGGATCTGCGCAAACTTGCCAACGTGGTCCTTCCTTTCCATTGCCTTCATCACCGCGTCTTTTATCATCCCTTCCTTAGATCTCAGTTTGTAAGACGGAGTGTAATTAATTGTTCTTCTTGTTGTTAACGCTTGCTTCTCAAATAACGGTTCATCTTCTATAGAGTCTATATTATATTGGGGTCTGTGGGAATTAGTGACCCCCACAGGTTTTAGTATCTTCACTGGAGGTTTGACTATAGTCTGATAATACCTAGACTCCTGGGCTATCATCATTTCATCCGGATCGCTCTGGAACTCAAAGTCTTTAATCTTGTCCTCTCCCCTCACTATACATAAAATTACAAATAACGATACTACTTTGTACGCCATTTTAAACGATTCAACTCAATGTCATAATTTTTAAATAATCTATTTAAGGAGCACACATAATCATTTTCACATTATTAACATAGAAAATCGCGTTTGTCCCTGCCGTTGTAAGAACGAGGTGCGCGCGCGTTGCCTTCCTCGATTCACCGTAGAATGAATGCATGCGCGTTCTCACACACACAGATCTCATCTCTCATATTTACAGGTGTCAGATTATACCGGAACTGCCAACTTTCACCACCTTAGGGTCACCGTTGTTTAGATTATGATAAGTCATCTAATTATCAATGTCACTACATCGCACCATCACAAAGCACAAAGGATTACGTACTGTATAGTTTGGCAAATCGGCAAACTTATATTTACCATTGTTATTTTAAAATTTAATCAAGACTATACCTTATTCGTTTTAAAAATAGAGTTGACGGGCAATTTCGGCGTCGGTTGTGTTTTTTGTAGTGATTTGCATTGTCGATACTTGATTTTTTCGATGCGTAAAAATGCTTTCACGGTTAAATGGTGTTATCAAATTATTACGAAAGCCATGGATAGTATTCGAATAAGTATCTACAAGTTACAGTTGCGGCCCATAAAACTCGTTTGCATACAGCTTTCCCTTTCAATGACTTAATATGAATAGATTTGGTGACGGCAAAAATAACATTGTTGAATTAAAACATGTTATATCATTGGGGTTTTTGAAGTCTGTCATTTCTATTTTGGGAATAATATTTCATTTTAAGTGTAAAACAGTCATGTTTAATGTTTCAGTTATTCTCCTGTACATGTTGAGATTTACAAATACATTTTTATAGTTTTTAATCACAGTGATTTTACTTAAAACGGAGTGTTTATGGTGAATTTTTGTCTATCAATGCGTCCGTCTGTCTATCCCAGCATTATATTATTATATCACATCATCATCATCATCATCATCTGCTTCTTCCTTATCCCATTTATTTGGGGTCGGCGTAATATGTTTTTCGCTTCCATTCATCCATATTATTATATTATTATGTCACAATCGTAGTAATATTTTATATTATAATATGATTATATGATTTTTGATTATTGATATTATATGATTTGTAATAATTAATAATAATAAATAATAATTAACAAGTGTAATAATTACAATAAAAAAAATCTGCTCAATTTTTTTTTATAGATATAATCATACTGCCCTCTTGATGGTAAACAGTAACGTGTGCGTTGCCGACCCATAAGGAACATTAACTTCTTAAAAAAATCTTATGCTGTAGTCTCACCATAAAACCTGAGCAGGTGATTACTTCTACAATATAAGTGTATGTGGGAGGAAGCTCCTCTGAAACCGCATTGTTCGAGACCACAGGTTCTAGCGTGTGGGGATGAATTCCTGTCGATGTCCTGACTTCATTCTGATTCTATGATACTGTACTAGTGTCCCGCCGGCTTATACGGTATATGCCGGCCGGACACTAGTACAGAATCGCGCAGGTGATTGAATCATTCCATTTTCATTCATTTATAAAAATATATAATGTAGTGACTGTTATAATTAGAACTAGAGGGTGCGTGTGTGCGCGGGCCTCAAGAGGCCCGCGAGGCGTTGTCGCTGATTTTTTTTGTGAAGACGGTTTTCATTTCGAATAGACTTGGTTGGCAAGTAGAGTTGTCTGTTTTGATACGAAATCATTCATGTGACTTCAAATTGTAACAGTGTGGCAAAACTTTATGTTGTAATGTTCACAATACAAAACCTAACCTAACCTACCTTTCTGTATACTATATATATAAGTTTTTAATGTAGAGATTAACCTACCTTTTTGTTTACTATATTATTCTGAGGGCATAATTTCTACTGTAAGAGTCGCAATAGAAATCCTAACCAAACGTAACTTTCAGTATACCATTTCGACCTGTGGCTTTAATTTTTATTGCAATAGGCACAATACAAAACCTCACATTACCTACCTTTCTGTATACTATATTAATTTGGGTTCACAGTTTATAATGTAGAAATCATAATACAAAACCTAACCTAACCTACTTTTTTGTTTACTATATTATTCTGAGGCCATAATTTCTACTGTAAGAGTCGCAATACAAAACCTAACCTAACCTACCTTTCTATATACCATTTCGACTTTTTATTTTTTTTTATTTTGGCTTAGCTACCCGGGTGACAAAAACATTTCGTCCATACATTGTCAACTCCTTCTAATAGTTTACTATGAAAACCGATGTATCAAACTTACATCGGTTTTCATAGTAAAGTTTTCCAAATAATTTTGATAATAACCACTCAACACTCTTTTAATTAAAATATCATAAATATTAAAATCGGAGAAAGTTTTTAGCGCTGGCAATACTAAGATTCAATGCCATCCCATAAAAGCGGACTCGCTGCATGGTTACAATGTACCAAAATAAAAAAATCTTCCAAATTTTGTTCAAAGCCAACCTCGGCGACCATCTTGGATTTTTCCATTTTGATACTTCTGACGTATATATTACATGACGACAGATATATTTCGTCCATATAATGTACAGAGACACGGTCCTTTTAAAATATTCGGTCGGTTCCTTAGTAAATATTACTTTCTACGAAAATCTATGCATGGTGTTGCCCCCTAATTTTACAAAAAATTGCATAAAACTATTAAGATGAGATTTATTATAGATACCCGTCACTTTTATGTTTAAATGTCGAAAAAAAATTCCCACATTTAAGGTTTGCAAAATTACCCAAAAATCGGGGAAAATTTGTAGCCTATATAATACTTCACGTCTTTGCTCCATAGAAGTAACTTGCTGTAAGAAATAAAATACTACCCCAAAAATGAGTTTTAAAACGTCCCTAAACTTGTCATCGGGAATAAAGTACCCTAACTCGGCCGCCATCTTGAATGATTCCATTTTAAATAGTTGTTTTAACATATACACCTTGGTGAGAAACATTTCGTCCATACATTGTACAGAGCCAAGGTAACTCCTTCTAGTAGTTCCTAAGTACTGTTTACAATGGAAATCTATATATGGTGTTGCCAGCTCATTTTAACAAAAAACACCTAAGACCCCTTGGGGATTATTTTTGACAGATCGTCATCATTGTTTGGTCTAAAATGATGAAACAAAAAATTCCACGTTTTTTTTTACTTCTACTTTAAAATCGGGGAAAATTTTTAGACCAGATAGTGCTTCGTACCCAGAGTTTCCACTGTTCCATAAAAGTCAACTCGCTGCAGTGACGATGGGTACGCGCGAAAATTGAATTTAAAAAAGTACCCTAACTCGGCCGCCATCTTGGATTTTTACTTCTTAATACTTTTGACGTATTCACCCTAATAACAGAAACATTTCGTCCATACATTATGTAGAGTCTCGGTGACTTCTTCTTGTACTATTCCCTAAGAAAACTGATCTAAGATGTTGCCAAATAATTGTGACAAAAACCAATAAGGGGATGATTTTTGACAGATATCCATCATTATTTTGTTTGAAATATCGAAAAAAAAATCCCACATTTTGGACTTGTCTTCTAAATTACCCAAAATCGGGGAAAATTTTCATACCATTTTTCCTTTTTCGTCCATATATTGTACAGAGACACGATCCTTCTAGTGGGTCCTTAGTAAATATTACTTTTTACGAAAATCGATGCATGGTGTTGCCACCTAATTTTACAAAAAATCGCATATAACTATTAAAATGATATTTATTATAGATCTCCGTTGCTCTTATATATAGTTTGTCGAAAAAAAAATCCCACATTTTGGGTTTGCAAAATTACCCAAAAAACGGGGAACATTTGTAACCTAGGTAATATTTCGAACCGAAATCTACCACGGCTCAATAAAGGTCGACTCGCTGCAGGGAAGCCAGGTAAATTTATCATCAGAGAAAAAATACTCAAACTCGGCCGCCACCTTGGATTTTTCCTTTTTTAAATACTTTTAACTTATCCACTTTGGTGACAGAAACATTTTGTCCATACATTGTACAGATGTAAGGTGACTCCTTCTAGTACTTCCTTAGTACTGTTTACTATGAAAATTAGTTAATACTTCGCACCGAGAGTTTCCATTCCTCAATAGAAGTCAGTTCGCTGCAGGGTTGATAGGTGCCACAAAACTGAATTTACTAAAAAGACCTTAAAATTGTCATAATAAATAAAGTATCCTAATTCGGCCGCCATCTTGGATTTTTCCTTTTTAAATACTTTTAACACATACATTTTGGTGACAGAAACACTTCATATATACATTGTACAGGGCCCAGGTTACACCTCTAGTTCCTTAGTACGGTTTACTATGAAAATCGATGTGTGGTGCTGCCAGATGATTTTGACAAAAACCACCTAGGATCCTTTGGGGGATGATTTTGAACCAATGCTCATCACTGTTTTGTTCAAATTAACGAAAAAAAAAATTCCCACGTTTTTTTACTTTTCTCCGAAATTACCCCAAAATCGGGGAAAATTTTTAGACCAGGTAAAATTTTCCACCGAGAGTTTCCATTGCTCTATAGAAGTCAACTCGCGTCAGGGATTAATTGTACCCCAAAATTGAATTTTAAAAAGTCCCTAAAATTGTCAACATAAATTAAGTACCCTAACTCGGCCGCCATCTTAGATTTTTACTTTTTAATACTTTTGACATATTCACCCTAGTGACAGAAACATTTCGTTCATACATTGTATAGAGCCTCAGCGACTCCTTCTAGTTCTATTCTCTAAGAAAACTGATGTAAGGTGTTGCCAGATAATTCTGACAAAAAACACCTAAACTCAATAGGGGGATTGTTTTTGACAGATTTTCATCATTCTTTTGTTTGAAATGTCCAAAAAAAATTTTCCCACTTTTTAGGACCTATCTCAAAAATTACCCTAAAATCGGGGAAAATTTTTATACCAGGTAATACTTTGTGTTGAGACACATCATCTCTCCATAGAAGTCGACTCGCTGCGGGGTTGCCATGTGTCCTAAAACAACATTTAAAAATGTCCCAAATTTTATCCGAAAAGCAAAACTCCCCTATCTCTGCCGCCATCTTGGATTT